GTGGGCAGAAGAGAGAGAGAGAGAGAGAGAGAGACGGCTTTGAAGTCGGCACAGCTTTTATCTCTCTCTATTTACATTAGCTAAAGTGTTAAGTGGACTCCACGTTGGGGTTGAAGGATGTAAACGCCCAGCAATGAGAGATTTACAGGAAGGGAAATTGCAGAACTCTCTACGAGCCCCTTGTGGTGGTGGTGATGGTGGGGGGGGGTCTTCGAACAAAAAGTATTTATGCAAATGGAAAGGCCGGAGACAGAGAGCACTCCCAGACAAAATCAGATGTTTTCTAACAGGCTGCCGTGCTGGGTTGGCAGATGTTCTGTCACTTCAGGAGGCTGTCAATGGCTCTCGGCTCTGGATGAGAGCCGGGCCAAGAGCGGCATTTCCTTGGAGCCATCTGGAAGATGGCTGCGTGTTTGTTTGGACCGGGCGTGGCCTGGCTTTCCAGGAGTACCTGGACAGGGCACTAATTAAAACCAATACTGATGACATAATAAAACAGCTGACCTCCTCCATTACTGTGGTGAGCAGAATAATGGAAATTTACATGTGGAATGAGGAATCTTGTCTCTTTTCTTTTTCGAAATCGAATCCAAACTTAACACTTTCTAAATCGCTACCTATCTGTCTGTCTGTCTATCTCTCTGTCTATCTGTATATCTGTCTATCTGTCTGTCTATCTGTCTGTCTGTCTGTCTGTCTGTCTAATGTTGTTGCTTGCTAGCTAGCTAGCTTTCCATTGAAGGAAGTAGTAAAAGGTCTAAACTAATGTAACTTTTAGCTACAGTAATTCATGTTTTAGGCTAATATCAGCCCTTTTCATTTTCAAACTCTTCCAGCTCATTTAACCGCTACTTGTAATTTTGGAAGTAGATTTCTCCTCAGTCGGATTGCCATGTAAATTTGCACTAATTTGTAAATGGGGTAGGCACATGAAATAGTGATGAAATAGATATGTAATAAATGTATTTTAAATGTATTTATATAATTAAAACCTGAACTTTCCTGGGTTTTGAGTTCATTGTTTTTGACTGAACAAATGTTTATCCATTCATTTAGTCAAAAAAAAAAAAAAACAACCAAAAAAACATTTTTTGAAGGAGAAACTTTACCTCTTGTTGTTGCTGTTTGATAATATTTTGATTAATTACTAAGACGTAGTTACAGAGCTGACCACTCTTGAACCATCTCCTCACTGGACATCCGTGTTTGAATGCCTGTTCTAAAGCGTTTCCCCTTTAATTCACTCACAACAAAGCGGACTCTAGAACCTCCTGTGAGTTAGCGCAGCGCTAATTGATAGCTTTAACTCTTGATGACCATGACCCTGACCTGTACCACACACACAGCCGTGAACCCTCAGTGACCCGGCTGAGTTATTAGGTATTAGGCAGAGATAAGACCCCCCACATTGACCACAACAATCCCCTCCCCTCCACCTCCCCTCCACCTCCCCACCTGACCAGTGACAGAAAACTACCATGACAGTGTCTGTGTGTAGGTGTTTGTGTGTGTGTCTGACCCGTTCCCCCTCTTTTTAAAGTTTTAAGAAAACAGACCCCCCACCCCCAATTTCCCCACCCCCGTCTACAAAGCAGTGTGAGGCTACAGCCCCCAGCTGCCTCCCCTTCAGAGGGGGAGGACGGGGCAACACAGCACATGATGTCACCCCAGTGGTAGTAATTGGTAATGCCTCGTCATCGTTGAAGGAGCGTTACATTTTCCAAATCAACCCTCTCTCAGACTTTCTTCTGTCAGTATCAGAGTTTGAATGACCTTTGACCTGTTGTTTTGAAACATTGACAGATTATCTTTGAATGAAAACAGTAAAGGGATATGACTGGATTATTTTGGAATGAAATTTAAATTAGTAAAACTGAAGTACATTTTTTCACTGTGTCCCACTGCGGCCCGGTACCAAATGAACTATGGACCTGCATTGGTCCCCGCACCGTGGGTTTGGAAGACCCCTGGTCTATGCCTCCAAATTCCATAGACCACAGTGTACTTCAAAGGCCTCCTATTTTTCATATAGATTGTTTACAACAAATGGACAGAGTCGTCCGTTAAAATAGTCGAAGCTGAGAAAAATAAGTCGTTTTGAATAAAAATCCTTCTCAGTGTTTGACCCTGGACAGGCTTCAGGCGGTCTTGGTGAGCAAAGAGAGACTTCCATTTGTGACGGTCTAAAGTCCGACCATTAGATGTCACTTTGTCTTATACCCATTTGAGGCGTTTGTGTGAAATAATGGTAAAACACATTTCAATTACATGACCATATTCAACCTTTGGTCTCTTCACTTCCATCACCACAGCAGCAGCGTTCCCAGTGTTTAGTCTGTCCATTTGCTCCCCTTGAAGAGCTTTTCTGAACGACCTTGCTTCCTCATGAACCCTTCTGCAGGCAGAGAAGTGACATTAAATGTCATTGATTTCTAATTGTGTTTGTGCTAATGCTGTGTGGAGCCGGCCCGGGCCTCCTTTGTCCAGTCCGTAGACCATTTGGCTGCAGGGATGCACTTGGCAAACCAGATAACAGGTGAATGGCCATGGTCTAATAGGACATCTGTGGAAAACACATTGCCGTCAATTAGACATCCACTTGCTACAGTTTTGACGGCCATTAGACGACTCGACCCTGACAATTGACTCTTCAGTGGCTTTTACTCTTCGCATACCCACTCCTTTTTTCCATTGACAGTGTTCTGGAGTCGGCCGGTCCCTCCACATGCTGAATTTGTCTGTTTTGTTGATGTCCAGTGGGCTTTTTCTCTCCAGGGTCCATACAAATGTTGTTCCTAACTCAAGGATTTTACCTGACCCTGATGGCCAAATGAGTCTTAGCCACAATGTCCACCCTTCTCCTCCTTACAAATAAATACATACAACTGTTTTATTGGCGCAAAAAGGAGCAAAGCTCTCAGCTGGCCTGAAGAGGACGCACTTGAGAAAGCGCACAATGAACGTACTTAATTGTCGTTGGACAAAATTCACTGATAGATGGAGCGTTTGTGTGAACTAAGATGAATGACATGTAAAAGTTATGCATAAAGGCTGAAAACGTGGGTATTGCAGGGAAAAGGCTGAAGTATAATGATAATATAATTATATAATTTGGAAAAGTTTGGCGGGCCGGATTAAAAACTGAACGGGCCGCTTCCAGCCCCCGGGCCTTAGTTTGCCCCATGTTTACAACATTAGTAAAACTATTCAGGACAACACTTCGGTGTAGGTGATTAATCTTGTGACCTTCTGTTTTAGAACAGTTTTTGTAGGTTACAATCGTATTACAAGAACAAAAAAAAAGGTTGTGAAAAAAAAGTTGAAAAGAGAAAATACAGACAGGGGGCAGCAATAGTGACCATTTCCAGTCCTGTAAAAGGATGTATTTCCTTCCCAGCCGCCTGCAGTTGTCATTTCTGTTCAGCTCATCCGTCTCGTCAAACTCGTACGGCGGCTCCTGGATGATCTGCTCTCATCATTTGCATATACATTATCAAAGTAGTGCATGGCATTTAATGACGAGGTTATCACGTCTATTGTTGTTGACAATAGAGGGTGTAATAATTTTTCATTATGGCCAAGCCTTAGATATAACCTTTCTGGATCCAACCAAGCGGATGAGAGTCACTGAAAACCAGTCATTAACACCTTTTGACAGTAACCCGTAATTAAAGGCGTATCTTTCTCTTCACGCAAAGTGTCCTATAAGGCCCTGCTAAATTATAGCTGTTCCCACTGCACCCTGTATTCACACCGTTTCGCTTTGTTAGAGCTGTCGTGCCACAGAGGTAGCATCATCCATCTTTAGCTCTTAGGGTTATTAGCATAAACATTTATTATATGTCATTTACCTCCTGTCAGTGAGTCACTGACTGATAAACAGCACCAAGAAATAAGGTCATACTGTGTGACCCTGAAGCTCTTTGTCTAAAGTCCAGACAAGGAGCCAAAAAATCATGGACAAGATTCATGTGGCCCACTTATTTTTAATTATAAATAGTTTTGTTGAGTAGCCTCGGGACAAACGTTTTGTGTGATACTGTCAGACTTCATACTTGCTCAACCATTAGCCCTTTTTTTTGACATATTTAATAAGTTTTAGTCTGTTTTGTGATATGTTTTTGTTGAATTATATGGATTTCTACGCCTCTCTTTAGGTACATTGTGTGCAAACAATGTTTGGCTAATGTCATGGTTTTTTTTTTTACTTTTTCACTATTTCTACGATAAGTTAACCTATATTTGTTTGCTCATTACATTTGTATCTTTTCGGTTAATGTTTGTCTTTGACTTTCTTTTCTTTGATTCAGTTATTTCTCACCCACCTGAGGCTTGTTTAGTTTACTTTTTCTTCAGATATTTAGCTACGTAGCTATGTGTGCTACGAAGCTATGTGTGCTACGTAGCTACGTAGTCTTTACTCAACTCTTTACCTAAGTTTCCGCTGTTTCAGGTTAAATTTTAGTTTTGTTTTAACTAATTTTAACTCAAATATTAAGTGAATTACTTCCTTGTTATTAGTATTTGTGATTGGTTTCAGGTGCAGGTGTTATCCCTTAGATTTCATTGAATGAGTTAGCATGTGTGCTATCTTCTTGGCTGTTTTCCTTGTTACTTTATAGTATTTCTGGGCTAGTTTTGTTATGAGCAAATGCCTGTTTTTTCTTGAAAAGCATAACTTTTTTTAGTTTTGCTTCCTGCTGGGGTTTAGCTCTGTTTTGTTTTGCTTGGCCAGAGCAATTTCTTCCTGAATTTTAAGCTGAGCTTGTATCTGTTTTTCTCCTGAGAGTCCATTTATTAATGGAAAATTGTCATTTACTGTTAGAATCTTTGAGTAAATCATTTACGTTCACTTATAACTCCTCTATCAATTAGTCTTAATGGCACTCACCAAGTGAGTGAAAAACTTAAAATTAAAAAGTATATTTTATTTAGATTTTTCTATAATTTAAGTGATTTGGATTGACCAGTGAAAGTAAAAGAGAACACCAAAGCCAGCATCATTTTCAGGAGTTTTAATAATTTACTTAAAAAAGAGTGTAAAAGGAACAGACCCGTCTCACTAAAGTGGATCTGTCTGATATTCAAAGTGATGGGAGATGTAACATTTTTCTTTTTCCATTTGCAAACTTGCCCTTGTCTGTACATGTGTGTACTTGGCAATGTTACCTCGCAAACATATTCAATTGAATTATGCGCAGTAATATCATTTATATTTATATATATATATTTATATATATCAAAAGCTCACAGCAAAAAATAGTTTGATATGAATCACTTCCAAAATAAAACCAACCAGCATGAAATGTACAGCTTTATAGGAGAATTAAAAAAAACAAAAAAACAACTAAAATAATAAAACACAGCTACAAAAGTGTATATACAAACATGCCAGAAGCAGAATGAGTGAAACTGACAGGCTTTTTTTACAATGACATCATTCAGGAGAGCCAATGAGATAAAGCTTTTTTTTTCTTTTTTTTTTTAAATATTTCATTATGTTGCATCGCTCAAAACATGTGATTTTACTTTGCCTTTTTCAAGTTTGTCAAGCAGAAGATGAAACATTTTATAAATATACAGTATAGTGTATCTCCTGCCTCAATTTAACTATAATTTAAACATTTAAATAAGACATTAAAATGTTCATTATCTGTAGAAAATAAATGAAGAAAAATGCATTTTCTTTGAGAAACCATGTGCATTTCTCCAGAGATGGTCTCCTCCCTCACCCTCATTATTAAGTGCCTGCATGGAAGAGGTAATATATAGATTTATGTATATATATTTATATTTATATATATACAATTAGCATATCAAATTTTATGACATGATATAATTTGTATAAATATGGCATTTTTACAATTGCATTAAAATGACACATCCTATTTCCGATCCCCAGACAAACGTCGAGTGGGAACAAAGGCATTTCTTTTTTAGCTTTGTCATTTTCTTGATTGAAATATTAAAAAATAAGTCTCAGTTATTTTGCATTTGCTGTTGTGTCGTCACATCATAAACGACACTTTCTGTCACTGATCAAATATTTGTCCAAGGTGGGTTTTTTTTAATCTACACTTTGGAAGGTGAGGGGGGAAAAGTGCCTTTATCAAATGCTCCCTCTTTGGAGTTAAAATGAGGATGTTTGTGTCATAGGAAAGGTCAAAGGGTAACTGAACAGACTCCACGTTCAGACGAGCTCCACGGTTTAGTTCTGTACAAATCTGTAAAAGCATCACTGTCATTTCAACATTGTAATAAAAGCCACGAGTTTGTGTCGTCATGTCGATTTTGCTGGTTGTACAGTTAGGGAGTCACGTGTCCCTGCACCGATGTGATGACGTGCTCGTAGCGTCATCTTCTCCATCATCCACACATGCGCCGGATGCCATTCAGAGGTGGATGACGAGTCAGACTCACTGTTAGACTCTGATCCTCAGACTCAGGAGAGACTCGGGCTTGCCGTTGCCCTTTAAATCCATCCAGAATAGTTCTACTGCCCTCTAGTGTTCATTAGAGGGTAGTGCAAGTATATAATCAAATGTCCATACTTCTAGAAATTTCTCCCCGAGAGTTTCACACAGCTAAAGCATGTTCAGGATGGCGTTGTACATTTGGATTAGTACAGCCAGGTGGACGGGCAGACAGGACTGGCGGTCCTGAGTGGCAGGTGTGCACGTCAGCCAAGAGAGGGCGTTGTACTGTTCCAATACAAACCTGAAACAGAGAAATATTGAGTTTGTTTTGATTTTTTTTTAACACTTGATAATTTGTCTGTACTTGGATTTTTCTCAACTATTCCAGAAAAATGTACAGAAATGTTACACAAAAACAGTAATTTATACTGGAAATATGTAGATATTGAGAGAACATGCAGAGCACTGGAGCAGGTCGGGACACTTGCTTATCTTCAGTGTGTTGAATATTTACCTGAGCACATCAGACGTGGTCTTGGAGTCTAAAGGGTGAGGGGTCCTCTTACTCTTATCTGTCACCAGCTCATCTGTCTGAGATATGGAGATGTGATGGTGCAGAGACGCCTGCAGCAGAGAAATGTCAGGTCAAAATATGTGATGAGTTGTTGTTGTCATTTCTGAGCCACCCTAGCGGCAGTCACTTCTAAGCTCATATAATTGTAAGGAAAGATAAGGAGGGAAAGGTTAAAAAAAATCCCCATCTAATTATTTATTCTCTAACCATTTGTCCTAAACACGTCCACTGCTGTAATCGTCAAATTATCAAGTTTCCCGATGGTACCTGAACGCACCTGTCCCTGATGACGTCACCGATTGTTTCGACCTGGCGATTTGCACCTGTTATCCAAACCAGTTGCTCTGTCCCTCCAGCTAGCATGTAGCTAGCTAGCGCATGTTTGTTAAAACATTTCTTATGTTAAACAAATGTAACAATTATTGAATACTGGATTAAAGTAAGACAAGGAAATTCTAAACGTTTCCTTACATATATTGTAACATTGTCTGTGGGTTTACGAAGGCCAGAAGCTAATGCTGTTTCGCGGGCCTTGGCATGGAAAAGTTTGCCAACCCCTGGGCTAAGGGGCACCGCTAGCACAGCGTCATGTTTGTGTTAGCCAACCAACCTAGCATTGTTTCAATTCAGCATTAAGGAGTTGTTTTATCCACAAAGAGGAAAATCTGTCGGCCAAGTGCAATGAGGGCAACACCAGTGTATAACAGTGGAACAGTTGGAGCATCGGATATTTGAACGCGACAAACTGACGGTATGTCGAACTTTCTGAGTTCATTTTCTGTATTATAATTTTAAATAAGTAATGAAAACTACTGATAGTCGGTATAGCAACTCATTTTATGATACATCTTTATGTTGAGTGTGTATTTGTTCTACTTAAATTAAAAAAATATGTATTCCCTTTTACTTTTTACTGTATTGTAAATGTTGGACGGTGTTGCTGACTCGGTGTAATCAGTTAAGACCGTCATAGAAGCAATGCGAGCTCAAATTTCAGATAAAAAGCAGCAGTTTGACATAACTTTGTCGCCTGTTTAAATCCTTTCTCTAGAACAGCAAAACATTTGTTGCACAGTTTAAAGACAATGTTTCATATTAGATGTCTAAATACATATAACTACACTTAGCAAAATACATCCATACAAAGTACATGGATTATGGATGTCCTTTGGTTGATAATATTTCAGTATTACTAGCAGCCAAAGAGGTTGAAAGGTTTGTATCAGTATTGGCAGATACTTGGTGGCAGCAGTATCGGTACTAGATTCATCCCTTGTACAGTACAGTTTGTAGTGCTTCATAGTGCAGTACCTTGAGGAAGAGTGGACACTGTTTCTCAGCCTGTGGGCAGGAGGCCCAGAACCAGTGAGGAAGTCCATTAGCTTGTGCGGTGGAGACGTAGTAACCCAGAGCCAGCGGCTGCTGCTTCAGCTCCTCTGGTGGATTGTCTCTGGACAGCAGACGTTCTCCCTGACTCTATATTTACACACAGGTGGAGAAGGACAGTAATTAATCACAGAGAGTTGGCACGGTGTAAACTGTAGTTTGTGATTTTAAATAGCCAGAAACATTCTAGTATGCAGCCTAGTGCAGCCTCTAACTTTAGAAACCGTCCAGCTAAATAGCCAAACTTCTGCACAGGCCGTTTCCATAGTTTCTCACTATGTTGCTATCAACTGTGACATATCACAGGTTGTCAGCACCTCTGTTCTCCCTGTGGCCCCCCGAGACAAATTCCATCTCCATCCATTATACCTGTCCAGACCCTGTCAACATTTTTATTCACCTGTCACGGGTGTCAAATGTCAATCTGTAATCCAGAGAGGTATGCATTGTAGTTCCACCCAAAATCCCCCCTCGTAAAAGGCAGCGCACAGTTATGACTGTTCTGAGTTCTTATCATAATATTTTTTCAGATGGAGAACTTTGTGGATGTTTGTGTAGAACTCAGCCTTCACTGACCCTGGTGTGATGGAAGTTTGAGCCCATTCCCATCCCAGACGGGGAACCAGGGGAGGGAACCGGAGAAGTGTTGGGAGAAGGATGGAGGTTCCCTGTGATCAGCATCATGTCGTGGCCGATGTCGTTCTCCAGCTCATCAGGAAAAGGCAGGTCAAACATGTCGTCTGATAGGAAAATCACAAGAGGTAGAATATGAATGTAATGAAGGGGCACTTTCACTATTATATTTTGAAAATTGGATAAAAAGTTAAGTTTTTGTTCTTTGGTTGAGAAATGTTTGAATATTTTGAAAATGGGATAAAAAGTTACGTTTTTGTTCCTTGACCTTTGGGATAATGCTGATCTGACTTTGGAAATTGAGTACTGAGTACCGAGTCATAATATACATATCAAAACTTTGACTTAAACCTTTTTGCTCTTATTCTCAGTTTGTGATAAGAAAAAAAATGACAACAAGGTCGGAAATGTAACTTGACATTGGACATTTTTTAAACATTTGTCCAGTATTACAGACAGAATAGTGACATTAAAATTTACTTTTCTTCTTTGTCTTCCTTGGTATTCTAAATTAATTATACTCTAAATTAAGATGTATATACTGAAATTGTATTAATTAACAAATTGTTAATCTAACTATACACCTCACAAACTAATGTAGTTTTTTTTAATTGTGGGATTCAATTTTTAATTTAACACTTTTTTTTAAATTGTGGGATTCAATTTTTAATTTAACATGAACAATTAGAATATTATTTACCTTATAATTACCTACTGCATTTTTAACTGAATCCTTAATGCTGTCTACATGTAACTGTGATGATCAGCTGTTTTCCAATGCACAGATGCCCCCTAGTGGTTCAAAATAGTACAACTAATCCGATTTTTTTGTTTGTTTGTTTTTTTTTAACTGTGATGACAGGTGAGGTTTAACTGCATTTCATTACCATTGTTGTCCTCTGTAGGGTATGAGCTGGGTGCCAGCTGTGTGGTGGCAGACGTAGGGAAGACCAGGATGTGTGTGCAGGAAGCGTCTTGAGGTGTGTTCAGCTGTGAGGTCTGCAGGTTCAGAGCCGTGCTGCGTCCAAACACTGAACCCATGGTCACTGCGTCTGTTCACAAATGCACAGGCAAACACGGCGAAGGTGAGTCAAAGTGTCTGTTTATACAAATAGTGTAGAACAGCTTTAAATATACCACGGACGTCACCACTGTCGCTGAAAGAACTACTCACCAGGCATGACCACCAGGGAGCCCTGTGGCTCCAAGGCTACAAGGCAGGCACTGAGGATTGTGGGGGAATCAGCAGCTGAGATTCCACACATGCGACAGGCTTCCCTCAGCTGACGTCCTATTGATTGGAGGGAATGTTCTCCCAGGAATGAGCTCCAGTCTTGTTGAAAAGGAGGCGATGCAAGAAGAAAGAAACAAAAAATATGTGAAAAAAAATTAGTGTCTATCATATGACAGATGTCATGTCGTAACACAACATGACAGGCAGAGTGCGTCACATGGAACTGTGCCACAAATATGTGTAGTAGTTGTGAGAGTACAGAGATCCGGGGGCTTCAGGCTAATGCCTTAAAGTTATCCTGGAAATTCCCAAAATGCTTATGTAATATATACTGTAGTAATAATAACACAGAATATATAGTATAACTATAACAACAAAGTATTTTGAATAATTGAAATTGGAAACATTTAAACTACTGAATTATTAAATTAAATTTCTAGGTGTTTTTGATATAAGCAAATTTTAAAAATAAGAAAAGCCAGCCTGTTTTATCATTTGATAACTGTCCTCCAGAAAAAGCTTTGTTTTTTAAGTCCACAATAAATAAAAGTTAAGGGAATAATCTTACAAATTAAAAATAGCAGAAGTCAACAAGGAACATAATTTTATGTATTTTATTAAGTTGGTGACAGATTGACAGACATTTAATTAAATTGGAAATTAAAAAAGGGATTAAAGAAAAAAGAATAAGTAACATGACTGCCAAAATTCTGAAAAAGAGAATAGATTTCTTTTAATGAATATTTGTAGATCACCTTTTAGCTCCCCATGCCCAAGTCTGCCTAATCGACCAATCACGATCCTCCATGGCAGCGAGGTCATCTGAATGATGCCTATACACCACTCCCACAGCTTCTGAAGGCCCATTTTTCTGGCTGAAACTTTAGGACGTCGTGACCTTGGAAATTAGATATCAGAGTTTTAAATGCAACAATTTTACAAAAAAGGTGTAAAAATGTAAACAAAGTTAAGTCAGTAATGTGTTTTTACCTGTTAGGTACATCCACATTGATGATAGAGGACTCCAGGAGCTCCCCCTGCTGGTCAGTACAGGAAACCAGGATCCAGCGCTGGTCATGTGACAGACAATATCCCACATAGAGGACATTGTTCTTGGGCGGAATCTCTGCCCATATCTCCCCTGGTTCTGGCTGCTTGGGGCGAGTTGGACCCAGGATGAACGGAGGGGAATAAAGCTGCAGAGGACTAGGATGCTGCAGGAGGAGAGGAGGAGAGGAAACAAATAACAGTGAGTTGTTTTTTCTTTTTTAACTTAAAACTAAGTGAACTACTTGCCCTTTACTACTTCAAAAATCCATTGAATAGTAACTTCCACGCTCTGCCTACTGTTTTTAGCCTTCGTGCTAGCTGCTCATAGTCTTTTACTTTTGGTTCTTTTTTGGAGATCTTTTCTGTTCTCTAAAAACCTTAATCAGTGCATATTGCCACTTAAAAATTAGCCAGACTCTGAGACATGCAGTGTTAGCTCATCTTTGCTGTTTTTTTTTCGCTGTGTACATGTTCAACATCAGGAGCATGATGCCAGTGGAAGCAGTGGTGGCTTAGTGGTTAAGGAAGTGGACTTGGGTCCCGAAGGTTTTAGGTTCGAATCCACCAGCTGCCAAGTTATCACTGAGCATGGTGCCGTTCCCTTAAACTGCCCCCTGCTGCCCTTTGGTGATGCGTAAATTGCAAAGGTCATATTTGTTTTTGTGCTGTGTCACAATGACAGATTATTCACTTTCCTTCTTCTCCTTCTTTAGTAGAGACTGTTTGCTCAATTAGTGGACAACTCAGTTTGGAAAACGTACTTTATTAGCAGTTCATCGCCCTAAATTACAGTATTGGATGTAATAAAACAAACACATTATTGGCCATTAAAATTGTTTCAAATAAATAAAAAAAACCCTCAATCTTCATGCTCACCTCTGGAGCCTTCAGCACAGAGCTGACAGTGGACACTGGTCCAAAGCCAGTCAGGGACTTGATATGTGTCTGCTGGGGTAGAAGACGTCTGCACTGGGAGTAACAGGAGAAGGCCATGGAGCGAAGATGCTGTAAATACAAGTGGCTCTCTCCACTGACAGGCTGGAGTAGATACTGACACGGCACCACCTACACAAGGAGAGATAAAAAGATGAGGATGAGAAACAGTACTCTCCTGTTGATTCTCTCTCTCTATTTTTTTTTTTTTTTTTAACCTGTAGGACGAGCGCAGGTCTCATCGTTTCAGGTAACGACTGCAGCATCTCTGTGTAGCAGCGAAGAAGCCCCAGTAACCAGATGCTGCCAGCTTCTACCTCGTCGCCCTCTTCCTCCTCCCCGCCGTCACTTCTCACTGCACTGGAGCCCAGGAAAGCGTCCACTATGTAAATAACAATAGCTGGTGGGTTGGCGTAGCTGTCCATGGAGTCCGGTACAGTCGGGATACCGATTCTGGCCTGCTCAGATGTCCTGTACGACCAAACACACAGAGTAATAACTCATGTTAATGTGTTGAACAACAAGTAAAGATGAGTCATTTAGCCAAAGTAGACCAGTTCTTACAGTTCAGGGTTCTCTGCTGGTGTGTTTGCTGGTGGTGTGGCACCAGGAGTGGTCTTTGAGTCACTGGTCCCCCCTGTTGCCGTCTCCCCCATCTGGGATGAGTTTGTGGGAGTCGAGGCGTTTGTTGAACTGACAGCACCCTGAGCTTGTTCTCCATCGGTGGCCCAAGACTGACTCTGCCCAGAAGAGGCAGGCTGGTTGAAAGATGTGTTGTTTACAGCAGGCTGGATTTTAGGAGGCAGTAGAAGACTGCTGTCCAGAGGCAGAGTAGACAGCTGTGGACCTGGAAGAGGAAGGAAGTCAATGACTGGATCTGTGTACGTACAATCGTTTAACGTTTTAATTTGCTTTGCTTAGGCTACAGGAGATTCACAAGTTAATTATTTGGGCAAAACACAGCATTCTGAATTTTTCTGCTTTTCCCTGTATCATATTGTAAATGCATAAACTGAAATGGTTTGGAGAAAAACCATAGACTTGACTGAACAACTCAATTAGATCAGACTGTGAACAGAAGTGAACAGAAATAATTTGGTACATTACTCACTAGGCAGTTGATTCTTGAATTTGTTTACATTCATGAATCTGCCCCTTTAGAGTTTTCACTTGAGAAAATAGATTTTTGCATTTTATGTCGTGTCCAGGTCAAAGAAAGGTCATTTAAAGAAGTAATTGTTTTTACCAAGTTGCTGCGTGCAGGCATAAACGTAGAGTTTGAGTTTGTTGAGGTTGTCATTGTGCTGCTGACCCGTCCAGGGCCCAGTCATCCACTGATCCACATCCACCTCCTCCAGCTTCTCTGGCTCCACATCTTCACCCACGTGCACCAGTCCATCTCTGGACACTTTGGCCAGAGGACGGTGCTTTCCAAGACGACACGTCTGGGATTGCAGACAGAACCGAGGTCAGTTTTCTCATCACATTCACACATTATAACAAATTCTCACTGACATTAATGAAATGTTGTTGTCAATCGACCACACAGTGATTTACCTCATACACTGCACTGAGCTCCTGGAAGAAGGCCCGGGCTGCAGCCAGTAGTGAGGGACTATTGGGGCACAGCACCAAATACGCAACATCCCGCTGCCCGCCGTAGGGCTCTAACAACAACTTCTCCCAAAAAGGTAATGCCAGAGGAGATAATGCTAAGAAGTCCCTCTCCCTGTCATAGCCCAGTAGAACTAAAGGGATGGGCAAAGGTTCAGGTGATTCCTCAGAACCTTAGACAGATAAAAAGTTGTATTATTTTCACCCAAAAAGCAAATATTTGTACCTAAAATGCTTGTATTCTGTTACATACTAAAGAGACATTCAAATTGTCATTAATTATGGCCTTACCATAGGAACCCCTTCCAGCCATCTTGTGGAACTGCTGCCATGTGAGTGGACCCTGAACGTGCTGGATGTTCTCCCAGGTCCGTCCTGTTCTCTTCTTCTGAATGGCATCCTGCAAGAAGGGCTGCAGAGACAGCAGCATCCGAACCATGTCCTGGGACGACAGCGCGCTCATGTCCACAACTGAGGGGACGGACCGAGAGACACACACAGATGAATATGTAGGTCGTACACTGTCAACATCTTGTCTGAATCTGGGTTTCATTTTTATACAATAATTGTAAAAACTCTAGTTTTTCTGCTATTTAGACAATACAGTATTTTATTTTGGTTTGGTAATTTCTTTAGTTTTACTTAATTTAATTTATTAGTTTCTAAAGACATCCATGAACACAATTAAACTGTGTTTTCCATCACAGTTCTATCATTCAAGCTATATATAAATGTTTAAAGTAATGTGGGATTAAATAATTGTCCAGGGACACATCAGCCTGTAGATACATACAGAATGTAATAAATCAAAAATCTACACCAGGAAGACAACCTGTTCCAAGTACTCATTCACATCACCCTCCCAAAACCGATAAAATGTAGTATAAAGTGACTTATTTAATAGTGATGACAGTGATTCATGCTCATTCTTACCGTTAGTGTGAGGCCAGGAGTGTAGAGCTGTACTTCTGACCACAGCTTGATCCACTTTCCCCCCTATGGGATTGTCCACGTACTGCAGCCCCTGTTCCAAGGCATTGTAACACTCCACACAAGCGTCGCTCTCATCCGCCCACTGCTTCTCCGACATCCAGCTCTGCAGCAGTGCCCCCTTGCGTCCATGGCAGGAACAGCTGAGGGGTAAGTGCAGTGAAGTGAGGGAAGAGATGGGCTGCGAGCACTGCTCCTGCAGGAGGATCATGACAGAGGACGAGGCAGGACTTGACTCCTGGGTCTTCTTGGCCCTCGGGTCTCCCATCGTTGGGTCTCGCCTGCAAAGGGCCAGCCTCCTTTCAGCTGCTCGGCCCACCTCCGAAGTCCGGCCAAAAATATCCAGCTCGTCCTCCAGGAAGAGGCCCGTGCCCTGGGCCAGCCGCCTGTTCACGATGGCACTGAAGCCACACATGCACCGGTACTGATCTTCGCAGGTGGAGTCGGGGATGTACACCCCCACATCAGCTCCTTTGACGTTCATATTGCAGGCACAGATACAGCAGCTGTCAAAGTTGCGATCCTTGAAGACGTTGAGGACGGAGTCTGAGAGAAGGAGGATGGCAAACAGACTGTGGGCCTCTGGAAGAGAAGGTCCAGGTCGAGCCAGTGGTTCTACAGAGCTGAGAGGAATGCTGGTGGAAGGAGTGGAAGCTGGTGAGCTTAGTTCTGTACCGTCCTGCTTCACAGAACCCTGACCAGAACTTGCTGCGTTGATGCCCCGGGGTGTGCGCGGAGTTCGAGGAGTGGGTACAGAGAAGCGAGGTGTGGCAGGAGACGGGAGGATGCCAGCGGTGGTGCTCACCGAGGCAGTGGTGGCGCTCATCTGACCGTAGTCCTGGTCTGGGAGGGTGTTGACGCTGGGCACGTTTCTGAAAACCAACAACAGATCATCAGAAAAAAAAGCAAACGATGTCAGCCAAAAGGTTATGCTATAACTGAAGCTGACGACTTACGTGTAACCATCTCTGATGAAAGTGGGGTTCTGTGGATGCATGACTGCTGGGAAATGCTCCATTTTGGGCATAAGTGCCCAGGATGGACGGTAGTAACACTGATCAGGAATCTTCAGTGGGGGTAAAGTCTGACTGGGCAGACAGGGCAGTGGGGCAAACATGGAGGATCCTACCTGTGGCTGGATTAGAAGAAAGGTGTGGTTATTAGATTTAATGTAAAGCCAACATTTTTTATTGTTAATGTAAGATTTTTTACAATCTTTAAAACTACTATCAGTGGTACCCACACCATATTTTAAGAACCCTTTCCTATTACGTTGTCTACTTGATGTTTTTTTTTTTTTTTTCAAAGGTGACATCTGCTTAATTTGTTAGACTAGATCTTATTCTGTTTGTCCCCCTCACAGACCAGTAAAGGTTTGTTTGCAAAAAGACGATTTTTTTTCTGTGTAAACACGATGCAGATGCTCCTCATATTGTCCACTCGGTTGATTATTCTACACAGTAATTAGCATTTTCCAGCTCCCAGAGCCTGCAGTCAGTGCAGATGTCTGACTCACAACACACACAAAGATAATGAGCATCAGGAAGCCTCGCAGGTATCAGTGCAAAAAAAAATCCAACAGGACATTTTAATCAGACCAGTTGCACTGGTCTTCCTGCAGACTAATTTCCCCGTCTTAAACATTATTACACAAGGCTTTAAATTATCTGAGGATATTTCCTTTTCTGTAGCCATTTTTGTCATGTTTAACTTTAACCTCATTTGCACAAAGATACATTTATGCAAATCTGTTTGTTTTGTTCCTTTTGCAGCCACCACTAACCTTGAGATCCTCCTGCCTGGGGCTGGCCATGCTCTCATCTGTCTCCATCCTGTACTCAGTCAGGTGCGTAGAGGCTAAAGGCAGCAGGTGGTCCGCGGCTCCGCTGGGTGCAGGTGGCTCCTGGCTCGGGGTGTCACGATATGTCATGATGGGAGAAAAGGCCGGGTGCTGCTCCAGAGAGGGTGGGGTGGGGAACATCCGCTGGAGGTCTGCTACTGCTGAAAGGAGGCAGGAATAAACACAGAGATGAAGAGGACAGAAAAAACAGAATGGATTATTCAGACGATTCTTTATGGCATAAAGTGTCATCAACTAAATATGACTCAAAGTGACTCACTTGATGGATACGGAACTGCAACTCTCCCTTCCTTCCCCAGAGGGCGCTCTTCTGTTGAAATGGGTGGCTTGGCTGAGTGCTGGTTTGTGTAAACGTTCTAAAAAATAATTAAAAACAAATACAAGTCAGTTTTGTTTAATTCTTCAACCCAGGTAAAAAATAGAACAAAGTCATTTAATTTGACTTTAACTTCATGATTAACTTGTTTTTTAAAATAAGCAATCACATCTTTTGGTTAATCAAGAAATGACAAATCATTTCTCAGAACTTTCTCAGTAAAAATAAAACATCAAGAGATGTCAAAAAAGTAGTCCAGATGAAGCTAAGTTAGCTATAATGAAAAAATAAATACAGGAAAAAGATTGCAATAACTTAGACATCAACTAAAAGATAGCCAACCATTGCCTAATTGCTAAAACAACCTTAACATAAACAAAAAAAAGTATATCATAGGAACAAAACAAAATTATTATTTGTAATATGGCTAAAGGTAGGCCTAAAATAGCCATTAAAGAGCTAACCTTATATCTAAAGTAATTACCTTAAAGCTAGCTGAAATTAAATTGCCAGTAGGTAGTCACAAAAAATACTTTAAAGTTAAGGAAGGATAAGAATAAAAACAGCAGAGTTAGCTACAAGTTAGCCAAAAAATAGCTAACTAAATATAGCTAACTAAATATAAATAGGCAGAGGAGATGGATGAATCTTGTCACTAAAACGGCTCAAATTGAACCAAATCCCTGTTTAGCTAATTAAATATAAATAGGCAGGGGAGATGGATGAATCTTGTCACTAAAATGGCTCAAATTGAACCAAATCCCAGTTTAATAAAACCTAATAAATAAAATGTGACACTTGTTAAATATTCTTTATAAACTACAAATATTATCTGTGATGTCTTACCCCCAACTCTTCCTCATCTTCATCAAAGATGTTGTCCAGGTCTGAGATGTTGACCACCAGATCTTTTTCTCTGGTCAGAGAAGGATTAGTTTTGGCTGCTCCGTCATCCTGACTGGACTCTTCTGCAGCGACGAAACATTAGATCAACAGTTGAATCTTCACAACAAACACCCATGTTTATACTTCATGTTAGATCAGCGTAGCTTTTACCTGATTTTGGTGCAGAGTTAAAAATGGACATCGCATCTTTCCCATCAGGCAGTGCTCCATTGCTAGTGATTTCATCTCCCTGAAGTATAAATTTGATAGTTTAGTTCATATTAGTTTTCCACCATGGAAATCCCCAAACTTTTGTACATGCCACTAGTAGTTAGATATTTGGCCACACGAGGGCGCAAAGTGAAATACTCCATTCATTTGTTTGACAGGGACTTAATCTTAAGCATTTATATTTGAGTTACAATTGGAACCATTTAGATTTTCATATATGTAAATAAATTAAACACTTTTTTTACCATTTAAAATCTTAATTAGAAACATTTTAGTTCTGTATTAGTATGTGCGATTAATATTACTCAAGACGACCTTCATCATGACCATGATCTCTGAAAGTAGGTGTTAATAGCTACCTTATGTATAAAGACTAACAAAGGATAGAGACGATATTAATGTTTGTTTGTTTTGTAAACAGTTTGTAAACTGTAACTAATTTCATCCTTTCTTATTATCCCACAATGTAAACTGTAACTAATTTCATCCTTTCCCCCCATCTTTTAAATTGTAAAGATTATTCTATTTTAATCCAGTGTGAAAAATTGTATTTTAGCGGCTAATGTTTTTTTTAAAACATCGTAAACATAGATTAATTTTATTTATTAAAAATATAGTTTCTCTTAGGTACTATGAAAGTACTAAGACAAGAAGTATTCTTTCTATTATTAATGTCATCATCATCAGTACTGTAGTAGAAACAGTGGTAGTTGCGGTAGAACAAGACAAGAAGTAGAAACAGTAAACAGAAACAGTAGTTGCGGTAGAAGAAGTAGCATCAGTAAAAATTGTGGTGATATAACTAGTAGTAGTGGTAGTAATAGTATTAGGTAATGGGAGCTAGTTCACAGCCAAACAACGTGTCCAACATACAAACACTGGTTGTCGGTCATTGACTGTGTGCTCAGCTGTCACATGAACAAACAGTGATGATGTGAAAACTGTATCTGTTGACATTCACCTTCACCTGTTTGTTAATCTGTGTTTCATGTGTGTTCTTTCCTTCTACCTTGGCCTTCTTGCTGGGTTCCCTCCCCTGGCCCTTTAATCTCTTGGAAGAGGAGAAGGTGTACTCGATGTCTCCTTCTTTAAAGTCGTACGGATCGTCCCCAGGCTCCCGCAGCACCTCCACCCCCGGCTGCTGGAACAGACCCAAGGTGTGGATGTGGTCCCGTATTTTCTCCTCCGAGATTTTAAATCTCTTGTGAGTCTGGGTGTACAGTCTGGAGGAGACAAAGACACAAAGGTAATCACTTTTTGGCTAACAGATGTCACAGTAGCCGTCAGCTGTCTCATATTTTCTCTCTCAGAGTTTCACTTCTTTTTAAGGTTGAAATATATATACACTTCTTCTTAGAGTGACTTTAAGTGCATTTGTTCAGAATAATTTTTTTAATTCTGTATTACTGAGTTTGTTACATTCTGTAAAAATATTCCAAACATTTCAGAAATATCGTGGTAAGAATTATAAAAGTCTCTGAGGTCAGAGATGATTATGAAAGTATTGTAAAACAATTATTAAGAGTTTACGGTGGTACATAAATCAATTAAAGAATATTACAAATGAACCTTTTACAAAGTAATACAATTATAAACTATTTTGTAACACTTTACAAGAGTTGTACACAATAACTAGTGCCCCGATATCAGGGAATAATTGTTTTTATGATAAGTCCTACGTCTTGCCAGGCGACCTAAAAGGCCTCAATGACTGCTGCATTCAAGTGACATCGGTACAACTGCAAATACAAATTTCTGACTGAAAACATCTCATCCAATTCGTCAACACTTTTGTAGCTGCTAACTACACTTCCATTGAAAGCAATGTTCTATGTAAAAAAGTGTTGCTTTTTAATCCTTTAAAATTTAGAAAAACTTTTTTTAAACATCAACCTACGATCAAAAACAAATGTATTATTGACTTTGAAAAAGTCTTTAAAAAGTTTCTGAAATGTGTAAATGTGCATGTGTCTGTGTATATGTGTCCATGTGTGTGTTTCTGTGTGTGTTCATGTCTGTGCGTGTGTGTCTGTCTGTTTATGTGCATGTCTCCATGTGTGTATGTGTGTGTATGTCTGTGCATGTGTCTGTGTGTGTGTTGGGAATTTAGGCCTGCCAGACTCTGGTACGCCAACT